CAAAAGACAGCTGCCTACATCCCTTTTGGCAACAGCACTTGGCATGTACCTTAAGCCACTTGGACTCTCTCTGGCAGCAAACCTACCATAACCCAAACTTCCTGTACAGACGCAAGAAAACACCAGAGACAGTTCAGGAAAAAAAGAACCCATTCTTTTTACTATTCCCCAGATGCTTCCCCATTAAACTCTCCCCAGTCACACAGAGTTGCAAAAAAACTTTTTACGCCCTTTGCTTTTATTTATTTTTCCAGGGTAAAAACATAACCCAGAGTCAGATGCCACAAATCACTCCCTGCCCACAGAGATCTCATGGTTCCATTAGTTCCACCATTCAGACCTTATCCGAAGCCAATGGGATGGTTCCTTTTGGAAACTCTGAATTTGAATCCGAGTTGGAAAGTATACTCTTACAAAATACTGACAATTTCTCCTTTGATAATCACACCCATCTCTACTCTTTACTCCCCAAATTATTTACTAACTCTGAGTTTCTCTCTCCATTTCTAGGCCTGTTCCCAAGTTATAACCTCCTTTTAAAAAGGCTCCTTCACTCATTTCTATCCCATCCAGCCCATTCAAAATGCTGCTGCCACAATCATTTTCCATGTCTCTCCATCCTGAATCTTTCCCCTCCTCCTATAATTTCTGCAGTGGCTCTTTTCTTTTTTCTTATGTATAAGTTGAAACATCTTTTCTTTTTCCAAGTTCTCTGCAATCTGTTCTGACCTACTGTTCCTTCTGTGCTTAGTAGCACATCATATCTGCTACAGAACAGCATGGACACTCAAACTGCCATATGAATTATACAACATGCACTAAAAATGAATTACAATAATTCAACCCAAATACCCACTGCTTAGCTCACAGCATTTTCCTTACCTTCACAGATGTCTGAGAGGTTGATTCTCATTACTACTCAAGCCCTAAAATATCTCTCTGCCAGTACGAAGCGAGAGTAGGTTACACTGGTACACACAAGGCCCCTTGGCCATAGTGTACATGCGAATCAGATCCTCAGACCATGACTCTGCACTGTAATACCCATGGGAGATTCCTACACTTGATCAGAATCCTCTGGACCGACAGGGACTTTGTACAGGTAAAAGGGCTCATCTCCATAAATGGCTATGCAGGACTGGGACCTATTTTACCACAGCAACGGTTACACTGGTATTATAAATGCACCTGGGCAAGCACCTCTTTCTCTGCATAAAAGGAATTCCTGAGCTCCTCAGCCTTCTGATGAGAGATACTATACCACTTCAGATATCTGAGGGCAATACATGGTGGTAACAAGCAGCAGTTTCATATCTCTTTGTTGCTTATCTTTGTCTTCCAACTTTCTGTCACAGATATTCTTCCCTTGTCTCCTGGATCCACATCTCAGCGCATTTTAAATTTCCTCAGACAAAAGTAATTACACTTCTATCTTCCTGTAGCAGTGTGGTCCATTACCATAGCAACCCAGGGGTGCTTACGTAGCAAAATAAAATATTCAGGCAGACAGTGCTAAAAAAATCCCACCACCTGACAAACAAAACCATGAGCAAACATAGCACATGGCTTTGATCAATAAAAATGTGCTTGCAATATAAATTTGAATTCAAATGTATACAGAAACAAACCTAAAAACAAACATGCTATACAAAACCAATAAACTGAACTTCCTGGTTCCTTGATACTGGAAGGCAGCACAGTTCCAAGTAACAAAAGCAACTAGTTTTTCACATAGTGTACAGTTAGCCTGAGGGATTCATTGCCACAAGAAGCCATGAAGGCTAAAAACTTAGTAGACTTCAAGAAAGGACAGCAGAGACACTGGGCAGAGATGGATGATGATGATATCCAGAGATGCAATAGCAAGGACTTAAAAATAACCATCACCTAGAATGTAGTAAGGGATATAAATTCTTGTGCTTCAAGATGTAACAAGCTTCTAACTGATGAGCATTAGAAAGAAATGGCCTTATGGGCAAGTTATGTCATAACTGTCTGGGGCCTTCTTGCACCTTCTTCTGAAGCAGTTGGTTGTGGAACACTGGATGTTGGACCTAATGGAGCTCTGGTTTGGCAATTCTTGCAGTGCAATGATAGTATTTCCCTTCTTGTTGCACACCCAATGACCATAACTACGAACTGGACTTTCAAGGTCTGTCTGTGACAATAACTAACATGTCACATAACCTAGAAATTACCTAGAAAGCATCTCTTTATTCATGGAGCATCCATGCTAAATTGATATGCAAAGCCATTGCTCTCTTTTTATTCAAGTCAGACCTACATTTTCTGCACAGTCTACTAGAAATTACTAGGACAGTCATTTACTTCATTCCATTAACAAATAAACCAATTGTTTGCAACACTAGGTAGTATACTAATTATCAATGACATGTCATGTCATGGGCTTTACAATACAATGAAAAATGTTGATTGTACAGACACTATCTCTTTTTTTCTTTTACTAATATCACATTCTCTCTTTTTATGGCAAATTGTAGCTTGTAAATTTACATGGCACATATCATGCATTTTTATGTTTGGAGAGACAACAAGAAAATGTTTGGGTATTTGTGAATATTAATAAGGTTATCTCCTCTGTATCTGCAAATGACTACAGTTCTCTTTTTATTGCTGTTTTGTCCATTCTCAAACACATTATGACACCTAAAAATAACAGTAAATCAGTGTTCCCAAAAACAAAGACTTCTCCCAAGCCTCTAGAAAGGCTGTGTGACAGTGTAGTAGAGTCAATGTAGAAGATTTTTTTCTGACATTCAACCTTTATTTTCTGGTCTTATTTTATATATTATTATTCCTAGATTACTAAGTAACTATGCTAAATAATACATCTTTCTCTTCCCTTATGTTTACTGCTATCAAACCTTTCTAGATAATGTTGTCACCATGTTATACACATATAGCTCTTTTAATCTTTCCTTGTAAAATCTTTGGAAATGTGACTTTACCATAGTACCCATGGTAGTAAGTAGGTAATTGAGTGAAGATCTCTAAGAGAGAGGTTCATGGTGGTTCTCCAAAGTGGTTTTGAATTTATATTTTTCCAATATGAAAAAATAACTTTTCAATTTTCACAATAAGCAGCAATCTAACACTTAATTATATGCAAATATGCACGATGCAAATATATGAAAATATGTGTGGATGCTATGAAAGTGTCAGCATTTATACTCACAATAATATTCTAATTATGGGAGGACTCTATTAATTTACACGCTTTGTAGTAACTGTTAGCAAACATATTATAATGCAGCAGGTACCAATC